TAAATAATTATAATCTTATTAAATTATATCACCTGATGGTACTGTAGTATCATTATTAGTAACTGATGGAGGTACTGGTGAACTAACAGTAGAGTGTGTATCATCAGATTTAGGAAACAATTCATCTGAAAACAATGCAAAATATATTTACTTAAAAAATCAAGTATTGCCAATGTGTATATAAAAACGACTCTCAGTATATAGTATATTAATGCATGAGTCATGGAGCAATATTGAGCCCCATAGACCTAGAGGTACATTGAGGTAGAGTTTCTATGGCTATCAAGCTAGTGAGATAGGTTAATTTTTCTAAAATTAATAATTTAGAAAAATTATTAAATTATTAAATTTAAAATTAATAATTTAATATTAATAATTTAAAATTAATAATAAAATGAAATACCATATAGGGCATAATGTTTGCAGGACACAAATTTTGCAGATAAAGAAAATTTGTGAAAATAAAATATGCAAATATCAATTTAATATAGTATCCGCATGGCATACCTGGTAGAATTTGCAAAATTAAAATCTGCGAATTGGAATTTTAGTAGATTTCACAAAATTTTCCTACTGCAAACATTATGCCCTATATCGTATTAGCCCCCCGTTAAGCAATCTGAGCAGTGAACGGTACAAGTCTTCTTTACCACTGATAATAGCATTACACACACACATATTACATAGCATTTTACACAATCAGTGATATTAACTTTATAACTTACTCTCTTGATCTAACTTGTCAGCTGCAGCATTCTCATTCATAGATTTAAGAGCATCTGACAGTGAGTCAAAGGTAGCTCCTCCTTTACTGTCAACATTATCAACTCTGGACAACCACTTGGAGAGAGTCTCTGTAAAGCATCGAGACACATCACCAGGATGATTCCTTTCAATGGCGTCCAGTATGTTCTTGTGTAGTCCTAGTCTCAGTCCCAGCTCATGCCATCTTGTCTGAGGGAAACCACATCTCTTTAACAGATCAAGTACATCAATAAGTTGATCTATAAAACATAATATATAAATATACTACAGACTACAGTTAATGGATTATTACTAATAGTCAATGGAGAAGTGAAGAGAGAAGGAGAAGGAGAGCTGCTGCTGCTTTTGGTAGCCATTGGGTTTGCAGGAGGTTAGGGTGGGGCTGGTTAATTAAATAATAGGGCGTGGTATGTGACGTCAAAAATTTTGGTGACGTCTTTAAAATGGTGGCCGTTAGGGTAGAGCTAACTTGTGATGCATATCTTTGCTGTCTGACTCACGCCATGTCCACTGAAAGAGAAGAAGTGATGGGTCTATTACTAGGAGAAGTGAGAGGAAGACCCTCCATTATTATTAGTATAGTCTGTCCGTATGTATTGCAGATAATAGAAGAAGGAGAAGTTGCTGTAGTTCAAGTGTTTTCACTGTACATGATGAGGAGACTTGATAAACAACCTGACAGAGTAGAGATATCCCCAGAGCAGCTGTCATCAGGAGCCATTGAAGCTGAGGCCTTGAGTGAGAGGATGAATAGGACAGTACAAGTGGTGGGTTGGTATCACAGTCATCCTCATATTACTGTATGGCCTTCACATGTAGGTATGGTAGGAGGGGCAAGGGGTGGGGCTAATAGTAGTAATGTATAATAGTGTTTGATTGGTTTTATGGATTTAGTATTGTCTAAACATAATGCGTACTTGTTAAATAATTGAAGTTTTTCAGTCAGCGAAAAGTGTGTTCATTATTATTTGGCTTAAGATACAGTACAGGGTATTTCATCAGAAATAAAAAGTAGAGAATTTTCCATTTTTATTAGATTTTCTGATGCATATAAATGTTCTTACATTGCATAGAAAGTTTGAGCTAAATCCGATCAAAATTGCATTTTTTATGAATTTTTAAATTTACTCCGAAATGGGACAAAAGTCCCTGTACTATAGTACAGGGTCACTGTCCAAATTTTGCCAAAAATCAAAAGTAGAGAATTCTCAATTTTTATTACATTTCCTGATACATATACATGTTCTTATGTTGTGTAGAAAGTTTGAGCTGATTCTGATAAAAATTGGATTTGTTACGAATTTTTAAAGTTGCTAAAAAAACCAGCCCAAAAACCCTGTATGAATGTATTGATCTATTACATGTACATGTAATAGATTATTATTATTATTGTAATTATTATTATTATTATGTAATGTACATGTACATTACATGTTTTCAGATGTTCGTACTCAGGCTAATTACCAGTTGATGGGTCGTCATTTTGTTGGTCTCATTTTCTCATGTTTTGAAGAAATTGATAAAGTAAGTAACCACACCCACTTTAATTAACCACCATCACC